CGCTAAAGTATCCGTAAAAGCCACACAACAAGAGACACAGAGTTGAAATACAAGTGAAAATCCACAGATGACATGCAGATTAATAACAATAACATTGGACACAGTGTTCTTGATTGATCTATTGATCGAATTGTTGCCAGTGTTAGCTGCTCTGAGTCCCTCCTCGGGGGTTAAGAAGGGCGGGGTAGAAACGTTGTAAATAAATAAATAAATAAATACGTTCTGGGCACCACAATTTATGGGAGATGTTGACTCTAAGCTGGAATGCATCCAGAGGAGGGTGACTAAAAGGTCTGGAGAACAAGCCCTATGAGGAGCGGCTTAAAGAGCTGGGCATGTTTAGCCTGCAGAAGAGAAGACTGAGAAGGAGACATGAGGAGAGCCATGCATAAATATGCGAGGGTAAGTCATAGGGAGGAGGAAGCAAGCTTGTTTTCTGCTTCCCTGGAGACTAGGAAGCAGAGCAATGGCTTCAAACTACAAGAAAGGAGATTCCACCTGAACATTAGGAAGAACTTCCTGACTGTGAGAGCCGTTCAGCAGTGGAACTCTCTGCCCAGGAGCATGGTGGAGGCTCCTTTTTGGAGGCTTTGAAACAGAGTCTGGATGGCTAACTGTCAGGGGTGCTTTGAATGAGATTTTCCTGCTTCTTGGCAGAATGGGTTTGGACTGGTTGATGGCCCACCAGGTCTCTTCCAACTCTAGGATTCTAAGACCCAGTGCTCTCTGGATGTAGGTGAACTACAACTCCCAAACTCATGGTCAATGCCCACCAAACCCTTCTAGTATTTTCTGTTGGTCATGGCAGTCCTGTGAGCCAAGTTTGGTTCAACTGCATCATTGGTAGAGTTCAGAATGCTCTTTGATTGTAAGTGAACTATAAATCCCAGTAACTACAATTCCCAAATGTCAAGGTCTATTTCCCCCAAACTCCATCTGTGTTCATACTTGGGCATATGGAGTATTCATGCCAAGTTTGGTCCAAATCTATCATTGCTTGAGTCCACAATGCTCTCTGGATGTAGGTGAACTACAACTCCCAAATTTAAGGTCAATGCCCACCAAACCCTTCTAGTTCACCTACAATCAAAGAGCATTCTGAACCCCACCAATGATGGAACTGAACCAAACTTGGCACACAGAACTCCCATGACCAGCAGAAAATACTGGAAGGCTTTGGTGGGCATTGACCTTGGATTTTGGAGTTGTAGTTCGCCTACATCCAGAGAACACTGTGGACTCAAACAATGATGGATCTGGACCTAACTTGGCATGAATATTCAATATGTAAACACTGGTGAAGTTAGGGGAAAATAGACCTTGACATTTGGGAGTTGTAGTTGCTGGGATTTATAGTTCACCTAAAACCAAAGAGCATTCTGAACCCCACCAACGATAGAATTAGGCCAAATTCCCCATGACCAACAGAAAATACTGTCTGTGAGGGTTTTTGGTGACCCCTCTGTTCTGTCCACAATCAAATGGTGTTGGTTTTTTGAAACGACAAATAAGGTCAGAATCCTAGAGTGAGGAGAGACCCCCAAAGGTCATCTAGCCTAACCCCACAATCAAAGCATGAGAGTTAGGAAGACGCTAGAGCAGTGTTTCTCAACCTGGGGGTCGGGACCCCTGTGGGGGTCGCGAGGGGGTGTCAGAGGGGTCGCCAAAGACCATCAGAAAACATAGTATTTTCTTTGGTCATAGGGGTTCTGTGTGGGAAGTTTGGTCCAATTCTATTATTGGTGTGGTTCAGAATGTTATTTCATTGTGGGTGAACTATAAATCCCAGCAACTACAACTCCCAAATGTTAAGATCTATTTTCCTCAAACTCCTCCAGTGTCCACATTTGGGAATATTGAGTATTCATGTCAGGTTTTGTCGAGATCCATCACTGTTTGAGTCCACAATGCTCTCTGGATGTAGATGAACTACAACTCCCAAACTCAAGGTCGATGCCCACCAAACCCTTGTAGTGTTTTCTGTTGGCCAGGGAAGTCCTGTGTGCCAAGTATGGTTCAACTGCATCGTTGGTGGAGATCAGAATTCTCTTTGATTGTAGGTGAACTATAAATCCCAGCAACTGCAACTCCCAAATGTCAAGGTCTATTTCCCCCAAACTCCATCTGTATTCATACTTGGGCATATGGAGTATTCATGTCAAGTTTTCTGTCAGTCATGGGAGTTCTGTGTGTCACCTTTGGTTCAATTCCATCATTGGTGGAGTTCAGAACTATCTTTGATTGTGGGTGAACTATAAATCCCAGCAACGACAACTCCCAAATGTCAAGGTCTATTTTCCCCAAACTCCACCAGTGTCCACATTTGGGCATATTGAGTATTCATGCCAAGTTTGGTCCAGGTCCATCATTGTTTGAGCCCACAGTGCTCTCTGGATGTAGGTGAACTACAACTCCCAAACTCAAGGTCAATGCCCACCAAACCCTTCCAGTGTTTTCTGTTGTCATGGGAGTTCTGTGTGTCACCTTTGGATCAATTCCATCATTGGTGGAGTTCAGAATTCTCTTTGATTGTAGGTGAACCATAAATCCCAAGAACTACAACTCCCAAACTGCACAATCAAAGCACGAGAGTTAGGGAGGATGCCAGAGTCAACATTTCATAATAACGGAGCAAAACATTTGTGCGTTGCCTCAGAGTTGCTCCAAAACGCTTTGGAACGCTCTTCCTCTTTTCATGAGGACTAGAAACCCACTCATTTGAATAGCGACCGAAAGGAGAACGCTTTCCCTCTCCAAAAAGACTGGGTTGGACTACGTCTCCCACAACCCCACAGATAATGGGGTGGGGATTCTGGGAGGGCCTGTCCCCAAAGGTCCCCCATACATTCCATAGGGTTTTTCTTTGGCGAGGGAAGCGGTCTGGCCATTTCCTTCCTCGGAAGCCGGAAAGACCGGACAATAATAATTAAAATGTCATGTTTCCGGTCACCAAAAAGGGGGGCTGCCCCATTGAAAGAAGTATAGGATCCTCTCCACAGAAAGCTCCCACAAAACGACCCATAGGGCACAAGGGCAACTCCCCCTGGGCCCAATCAGCGCGTTGTTAATTACGATCTCCAGCCGGTTAATTAAGAACTAAACCATTGCAAAGGGAGGGGAAAAGGGGGGGGGTCCCTATTCTGCCCCATTGAGAAGGAACGAACCCCAAGTCCTGCCGAACAGAACCCCAAAAGTCAGCAAAAGTCTCCCAAGGAAACCAACGTTTGGGGTTTTTTTGTCTTCTCCTAATGGACTCCCTGCAAAAATGCAACTTGGGTTACCCCAAAAAGGGCCTGCACCCCAATATTTTGTGGACTACCCACATTGATATGGGGAGGGGAGGCATCGGGGGTCCACAGGTTGGGGGGATTGTCTCCCCATTGACTTCAATGCAAAAAATCCCCCCTTCACCCCCAAAATGAGTTTGCACCCCAATACTTAGTGGGGTCACACGAATAATATTTAAAGAATAGCTACAGCTTTGATTGTTTGCATGGCATAACTCAGCCAAAACCACATTGGTGTGTGGGCACCGTGAACCCCCAAATAATGATACAGAGGGGCAATGAGTCAGGTGGGGGTCAGGGGCACCCCACTTTTTTGGGTGGGAAGGGTATCTATGGGGCAGAGAACCTGCTTCACCTTGCAAATGTTTGTCTATGGGGTTCCCCTTCCTGTTTACAATATGCATAATTAAATGGGGAGCAATGCAAAATTTGGAGGGGGGTTGTCTGGGATTCCCCTTCCTGTTGACCCATATTAAGGATTTAATGGGTGCAATGCAAAATTGGGGGGCTATCTATGTGGTTCTCCTTCTTGTTGACCCATATAAAGGATTTAATGGGGGGGTGATACAAAATTTGGGAGTTGTCTAGGGTTCCCCTTCCTGTTGCCCTATAGAAAAGATTTAATGGGTGCAATGCAAAATTGGGGGGGCTATCTATGGGGTTCTTCTTCCTGTTGCCCTATATAAATGATTTAATGGGGGCAATGCAAGATTGGGGGGTTGTCTATGGGATTCCCCTTCCTGTTGACCCATATAAAGGATTTAATGGGGGGCAATGCAAAATTGGTGGGTTTATCTATGGGGTTCTTCATTCTGTTGCCCCATAGAAATGATTTAATGGGGGGCAATGCAAGATTGGGGGGTTGTCTATGGGGTTTCCCTTCCTGTTACCCCATATACATGATTTAATGGGGGGCAATGCAAAATTGGTGGGTTTATCTATGGGGTTCTTCATTCTGTTGCCCCATAGAAATGATTTAATGGGGGGCAATGCAAGATTGGGGGGTTGTCTATGGGGTTTCCTTCCTGTTACCCCATATAAGGGATTTAATAGGGGGCAATGCAAAATTGGGGGGTTTATCTATGGGGTTCCCCTTCCTGTTGACCCATAGAAATGATTTAAAGGGGGGGGCTATCTATGAGCTTCCCCTTCCTGTTGCCCTATAGAAAGGATTTAATGGAGGGCAATGCAAAATTCAGGGGTTGTCTATGGGGTTCTCCTTCCTGTTGCCCCATATACACAATTGGCAATGCAAAATTAGGGGGTTTATTTATGTTGTCCCCCTTCTTTGGATTCCAAGGAAGCAAAATTTGGGGAGTGGGTGGGTGGGTGGAAGTGAACCCCTTAATACTAAATATGTGGGAGTGGGAAAGGACCCGGTGGTTGCTAAGGGGCGGGGACTCCAGGGGGAGAGGGTTGCTAAGAGACCACTGATTGATTGATTGATTGATTGATTGATTGATGGGGTGGGGGTGTCTGCAATCAATAACCTGTTTATTTTGCAAAAGGGAAGCTTGTGCAATGGGAATTTGCCTTGCAAGAGGGTGGGGGTCCTTGGAAAGGTTGCAATGCAATGCTGTTTATGATTATTATGTTTAGTTTTGGGGAGCAGGAAGAGGAAGCAGAAGGAGGAAGCAGAAGAGGAAGCCTTCCGCCCCACCCAGAGCAAGAGCCCCCCCCCCCTTTTTCCCGTTGCCTTTGCCCCCCAAATACCTTTTTTGCAGCAGTAGGAGCGCCTTGGCCTCGCCCTCCGCGGTGGGGGGCACTGGGGGGGAGTTGGGGGAGAGGGGGAAGCGGGGGACTCCTTTCTCCTGCTCCAGGGGCGGAAGGATCCCCGCTGGATGGGCCGCGCGAAGAAGAAGAAGAACCCAGAAGCAGCAGTAAGCGCCGGGACTTCTTTGCGCCGCGGAGTGATACGAAGCTTCAGTGACGCGGCCCTTCTTCTCTGCTGCCGCCGCCGCGCCCAGAGCCGGACGCGGCCGAAACAGAGAGGGAGGGGGATGGAGAAGGAGGAGGAGTGGGGCGTACCAAGTCAGACAAGGGGGGAGCTTTTTTTAAAAAAGGGAATGGAAATGGAAATATAATAAATAGGATCCTAAAGAAGGAGAAGGAGAAAAGGAGAAATCTATTGTGACAGGAAAGAATAGCTCCTAGTGCTTTACAACTCTAAAGAAAGGAAGTTAATTTAAGAATGGGAGGTACCACTTGAGGAGGGTGGGTTGTACCAAGTCAGACAAGGGGGGACTGAATGTAAAATAAGGAAAGTACCAAGTCAGACAAGGGGGGAGTCATTTTTTTTAAAAAAGGGAATGGAAATGGAAATATAATAAATAGGATCCTAAAGAAGGAGAAGGAGAAAAGGAGAAATCTATTGTGACAGGAAAGAATAGCTCCTAGTGCTTTACCACTCTAAAGAAAGGAAGTTAATTTAAGAATGGGAGGTACCACTTGAGGAGGGTGGGTTGTACCAAGTCAGACAAGGGGGGACTGAATGTAAAATAAGGAAAGTACCAAGTCAGACAAGGGGGGAGTCATTTTTTTTAAAAAAGGGAATGGAAATGGAAATATAATAAATAGGATGCTAAAGAAGGAGAAGGAGAAAGGGGGAAATCTATTGTGACAGGAAAGAATAGCTCCTAGTGCTTTACAACTCTAAAGAAAGGAAGTTAATTTAAGAATGGGAGGTACCACTTGAGGAGGGTGGGTTGTACCAAGTTAGACAAGGGGGGGACTCATTTGTTGAAATGGGAATTAAAATGGAAATATGGGTAATAGGATCCTAAACAAGGAGAAGGAGAAAAGGGGAAATGTATTGTGACAGGAAGGAATGGCTTCTACTGCTTTACAACTCTAAAGAAAGGAAGTTAATTTAAGAATGGGATGTACCACTTGAGAAGGGTGGGCTGTACCAAGTGAGATAATGGGGGGAGTAAATGGAAAAGCAGGAAAGTACCAAGTCAGACAAGGAGGGAGCCAATTTTCAAAAAGAAGGAAATGGAAATGGAAATATGGAAAATAGGATCCTAAAGGGGGAAGAAGGAGAAGAAGGAAAATAGATTCGACAGGAAATAATAGCTTCCAGCGCTTTACCACTCTAAAGAAAGGAAATTAATTTAAGAATGGGATGTACCACTTAAGGAGGGTGGGTTGTACCAAGTCAGACAAGGGGGGACTGAATGTAAAATAAGGAAAGTACCAAGTCAGACAAGGGGGGAGTCATTTTTTTAAAAAAGGGAATGGAAATGGAAATATAATAAATAGGATGCTAAAGAAGGAGAAGGATAAAAGGAGAAATCTATTGTGACAGGAAAGAATAGCTCCTAGTGCTTTACAACTCTAAAGAAAGGAAGTTATTTGAAGAATGGGATGTACCACTTGAGGAGGGTGGGTTGTACCAAGTCAGACAAGGGGGGAGTAATTTTTAAAAAAGGGAATGGAAATGGAAATATGAGACATGGGATCCGAAAGAAGGAAAAAGAGAAAGAGGGAAATATATTTTCACAGGAAAGAATAGCTTCCAGCGCTTTACAACTCTGTAGAAAGGAAATTAATTTTCTAATGGGATGTACCACTTGAGGAGGGTGGGTTGTACCAAGTCAGACAATGGGGGGGAGTCATTTTTTTAAAATGGAAATATATGAAATAGGATCCTAAACAAGAAAGAGGAGAAAGGGGGAAATCTATTTTGACAGGAAGGAGTGGCTTCAAGCGCTTTACAACTCTGAAGAAAGGAAATTAATTTTCAAATGGGAGGTACCACTTGAGGAGGGTGGGCTGTACCAAGTGAATGTAATAGAAAGAAAGTACCAAGTCAAGCAAGGGGGGGAGCCAATTTTTAAAAAGAAGTAAAGGAACTGGAAATATGGGAAACTGGATCCTAAAGAAGGAGAAGGAGAAAGGGGGAAATATATTGTGACAGGAAATAATGGCTTCTACTGCTTTACAACTCTAAAGAAAGGAAGTTAATTGAAGAATGGGATGTACCACTTGAGGAGGAGTGGGCTGTACCAAGTCAGACAATGGGGGGAGTCATTTTTTAAAAAAGGGAATGGAAATGAAAATATAAGAAATGGGATCCTAAACAAGGAGAAGGAGAAAGGGGGAAATATATTCTGACAGGAAGGAATGGCTTCTACTGCTTTACAACTCTGAAGAAAGGAAGTTAATTGAAGAATGGGATGTACCACTTGAGGAGGGTGGGTTGTACCAAGTCAAGCAGTAGAGGAGTGTCGTTTTAAAAAAGGGAATGGAAATGGAAATATGAGAAGTGGGATCCTAAACAAGAAGGAGAAAGGGGGAAATATATTCTGACAGGAAGGAATAGCTTCTACTGCTTTACAACTCTAAAGAAAGGAAGTTAATTGAAGAATGGGATGTACCACTTGAGGAGGGTGGGTTGTACCAAGTCAGACAAGGGGGGGACTCATTAGTTAAAATGGTAATTAAAATGGAAATATGGGTAATAGGATCCTAAACAAGGAGAAGGAGAAAAGGGGAAATATATTGTGACAGGAAGGAATGGCTTCTACTGCTTTACAACTCTAAAGAAAGGAAGTTAATTTAAGAATGGGATGTACCACTTGAGAAGGGTGGGCTGTACCAAGTGAGATAATGGGGGGAGTAAATGGAAAAGCAGGAAAGTACCAAGTCAGACAAGGAGGGAGCCAATTTTCAAAAAGAAGGAAATGGAAATGGAAATATGGAAAATAGGATCCTAAAGGGGGAAGAAGGAGAAGAAGGAAAATAGATTCGACAGGAAATAATAGCTTCCAGCGCTTTACCACTCTAAAGAAAGGAAATTAATTTAAGAATGGGATGTACCACTTAAGGAGGGTGGGTTGTACCAAGTCAGACAAGGGGGGACTGAATGTAAAATAAGGAAAGTACCAAGTCAGACAAGGGGGGAGTCATTTTTTTAAAAAAGGGAATGGAAATGGAAATATAATAAATAGGATGCTAAAGAAGGAGAAGGAGAAAGGGGGAAATCTATTGTGACAGGAAAGAATAGCTCCTAGTGCTTTACAACTCTAAAGAAAGGAAGTTATTTGAAGAATGGGATGTACCACTTGAGGAGGGTGGGTTGTACCAAGTGAATGTAATAGAAGGAAAGTACCAAGTCAAGCAGTAGGGGAGTGTCATTTTAAAAAAGGGAAAAGAAATGGAAATATGAGAAGTGGGATCCTAAACAAGGAGAAGGAGAAAGGGGGAAATCTATTGTGACAGGAAAGAATAGCTTTCATCGCTTTATCACTCTAGAGAAAGGAAGTTAATTTAAGAATGGGATGTACCACTTGAGGAGTGGGCTGTACCAAGTCAAGCAGTAGGGGAGTGTCATTTTTAAAAAGGGAATGGAAATGGAAATATGAGAAGTGGGATCCTAAACATGGAGAAGGAGAAAGGGGGAAATCTATTGTGATAGAAAAGAATAGCTTCCAGCGCTTTACAACTCTACAGAAAGGAAATTAATTTAAGAATGGGATGTACCACTTGAGGAGGGTGGGTTGTACCAAGTCAGACAAGGGGGGGAGTGAATGGAAAAGAAGGAAAGTACCAAGTCAGACAACGGGGGAGCCAATTTTCAAAAAGAAGGAAAGGAACTGGAAATATGGGGAAATGGATCCTAAACAAGGATAAAGAGAAAATGGAAAATCTATTGTGACAGGGAAAAATAGCTTCCAGCACTTTACAATTCTAAAGAAAGGAAATTAATTTAAGAATGGGATGTACCACTTGAGGAGGGTGGGTTGTACCAAGCCATTCAATGGGGGGAGTCATTTGAAAACAAGGGAAAGGAAATGGAAATATGAGAAATAGGATCCTAAAAGGGAGAGAGGGAGAAGTAGGAAAATATATTCTTCAGGAAGGAATGGCTTCCAGCGCTTTACAACCCTGTAGAAAGGAAATTAATTTAAGAATGGGATGTACCACTTGAGGAGGGGTGGGATGTACCAAGTCAAGCAGTAGGGGAGTGTCATTTGAAAACAAGGGAAAGGAAATGGAAATATAAGAAATAGGATCCTAAACAAGGAGAAGGAGAAGAAGAAATATATATTCGACAGGAAAGAATCACTTCCAGTGTTTTACAATTCTGAAGAAAAGAAATTAATCTAAAGAATGGGATGTACCAATGGAGGGGGGTGGGTTGTACCAAGTTAAGCAGTGGGGGGGGGGGAGGTTCAGGGCTGAAATTGGAAGAGAAGGAAACCTTGAACCAAGAGAACAGATTCTACTATTTCTCCCCTAATAGAAATTTTTTTTTAAAAAAAAATGGGAAGTCCCAATATAGAAATGGGCGAGTCCAAAGTGTGCAAATAGGGGTGGGCGTGGGAGCCACGTTCCTGTTGTTCTAGGCCAAACCACTTCCTCTTTTCTTAAAAAAATGGGTTATTGTTTCCTTTTTTGGGTACTGTATATATAATATATCAGGCCTGGGCCAACTTGGGCCCTCCAGGTGTTTTGGACTACAACTCCCACAATTCCTAACAGCCTACCGGCTGTTAGGAATTGTGGGAGTTGTAGTCCAAAACACCTGGAGGGCCCAAGTTGGCCCAGGCCTGATATATATGTTTGTATATTGATCGATTTGTTGTTTGCTTTCTATTGCAAAGGCTTCTCAATTGCATTCATTATATCCCACTTAAAAGTCATTGAGAATTGAGAAAGGAAGTGGCCAGGTGAAGTGGCCCTCTGTCACGTGACCAGGAGAGGGGAAGGAGTGAAGTGGTTTGGCTGCTGATATGTGACATGTGAATGAAGGGAAGGAAAGGGGAAGGATAAAAGAGAAAGAAGGGAAGAGGAAAAGAAAAGGAGAAGGAAGAGAGGGATGGGAGAAGAACAAGAAAGGGAAAGAAGAGAAAGAAAGGAAAGAGGGAGAGAGAGAAGGGAAAAGTGTATGTGGGAAAGCAAAGGAAGAAGAGAGAAGGACAAGATGTATGAGAGGAAAGAAGGATGGAAGGAGCCACA